AATTGACTCATGCCTATGCCTGCAGATGCCGAATCTCATGGTGTCATATACCAGTCTGTTTTGATCATACAGAGCACAGCATCGATGTGTTTGTTGTTCACAGCAATGGACGGGCGACCATCGCGAAATTCGTCACTGTGATTCACACGACCACGTTTGAATTCTGCAAACCAGCCATAAATAGTCGTTTGCATGGTGTTCCGTGGCCAAAAGCAGTTTGAAGCCGAGCGAAGCTCCGCTGAGCTGTTAAATTACACTTAAAATAGTAGAAAATCATACTACATAGTTAAATCCATGGTATGTAGACAACCAATTTCTAAAATGACGCCATAATGAAAAGTGATAATCAGATGAAACAAACTGTATTCTACAGCCAAAGAGTTCCATTTTCAAATGCTGTAATTACTTTTTATATATTATTTATGTAAGTGGCCAGTTCCTGAAACTTATAGTGCGCCCTACGTAAATATTAAATTCCTTTTTTATTTATCATTATATTATTACGAAAACGTTATAAAATAAAATATACCACTTCTGAAATTATTGAAATATTGTGGATACTACTGTCAAGTCCCTACCTCGTTTAGTAGCAGTAGAGCTCCTTGTGAAAGAGTTCGTCCAGGGAAGTACTGCCAACTTACCCATTTCTGCCACCAACAGCAGTAATGTTAGCCAGACTGTGTTCCGGTTTTGAAGGGTAATAAGGGTGCTGCTGAAATTACAGGCACGTGGGTCTTGTCAAGTTATGTCTCAGGATGAAGGGCGCAGTGGCAGTACCCCTCAAATCTTTACGATTTAAAGGTCTAAGTAGCACTGCAACTGTTATGGATAAGCATGTAGCTTACCATCAGGCGCACGACTTGTTCGTTCCATCACTAAATATAATTTAAAAAAAACTCATTATTAATTGTTTGTCCAGCCTCCATCGTATTTCCGTTTAAATAAAATTAAAATGATTCTAATTTTAACAGTATGTTTATTTTTTAATTTAATTTTAGGTTTTGTTAGCCCCGAATGTGTAGTCAACTAAAAAAAAGCTAACATTGTAGTCAATATTTTCCAGGAAGGGTTATTAAGTTTATTATGAACATCTGTATATCAAAACGGTACCGTATTATGAAGAGTTCTTAATTCTATGACCAACACTGTATATATAATGTATAATAATAATGCCAGACAATCGCACCAATTTTCTGGTCTCAAATTAGAGAATTTCCTGTACTATGTGTTCCAGAATAAAAATAACAATACGATAAGAGTACCCAGACTAGAATTAAAAATGTCCTGATGAAAACAGGCTTTCAGAAATTCATTGGAACCTTGATACTTAATTTGAGGTATAATTGTATCTCATATTCTCTCTCCTCTTCCGTCAACTGTTACCTAATTCTTTTTATGTGATTTTGGTGTGTTAGCGGCAAATATGGTGGGGGTGGCTATAAGTAAAAAGTAACGTTATATACAAATTGATGAAACGTGTCAAGCTTCGTTCTGTCCATTTCTTCCGCTTTATCCTCCTCTGGATATCTATCCATATTGTCTCTACTATTTGTATAATAACTACCTCAGTCATATTAATAACGATAGCTACAAAAAGTATTCAAAATTATACAAACTCTATAATCATATAGATATTTGAATTGTTAAATTCGATATTATAATATACAGGTATTTAATTTATTGCACATACCATTCGTTACTGCCGGCTGGTCGAGCTCCAGGTATGGTGCATCCCGCAGCGTAAGCACACCCCATAATCTAAACTCGGTCACACGCCGCCGGTTGAGGCTGACCCCACCGTAAATGGGTCGTTCTTGATATAGCCATCACAATGTATCTTATTTCTCTATTAATAATTGTTTAATAGTAAACAGAAAAAGGTAAATTATCATTCGAAAACATAATGTGAATTTGAAATAATCCAATGAGTCCACGACCTCCAAGCAGATTATCGTTCGTTCTACTTCTAAAAATACCGAAACATTTACAAGAGCGCTTCACTGTCATACCTAGTCGGAGAAATATCAAAACAAGATAAGCTCGATTTCCTTGGACATGTTATTCTTCTCGTCATCCATTGGGATTGGTTTGTTACTTCACGCTGAGTAACAGTGGGCCGTAGCTAATGCAACCGGCAATCGAGCTAATATTTGATTTGCCCCTTCGCCGAAATAAAAAGCGTTATCAGATCATACCGTATATTAAAAACAAATAATATGCCACTTAGGTTCATAGAGCACTAACAATACAAAAATAAGATCGAAAAAATTACGTGCTCTACAGAATATCTAATTCTTGTAACGCCTTCCACGAGGCATTCTGCGGCCTACCTACCTACATATACTACTTATTTGGTTTTAATACCTATAATAAGTCCGTTTCACGCAGTCAATTCCATCGCAGGATAGCGCGAAAAAACTAATGCGGCGTTGCCACACCGTGCAGTCGAGCGTACGAACAGAACAGGTAGTCTCTACGATGCAATACAAGTTGTACCTATCTAATCTATACAACACATATTGTATTGATTTTGTTATTAATTATTACTTACATAAAATTTGTCCCTTTCCATAACAGTAATAAAACCTTAACTCAGGCCTCTTGTTCTCAAGTTTGTCAATCATACCAGACTCCAATTCGAAAAAATGTGTTTACTGCAAATTATTCTAACACAACAGCAACTAGACAACTGATGGTGCTAGATACGAAATACCACACTATTAAAAAAATCGAGTATTCTAGCAATACGTACGTACCTATTAAAATTCCGGTAGCACGAAAGTACAGGTACATTACGCAGTATAACATTATGTACTTACCGTTGCTGGGGTCCACATAAGCGATCTTAATATCCATATCTATGGTTTCAGCTGGTTTAGCTTCCGCAGTGCCCATGTCATATTCCAGTGGGTCGTCAGTCACCATTTCGGCCTTTGCATGACTCGTAGATCCCGTAAGACTTTGCGCTACACTCATTTTTGGAGCGTCTTCGTGCATCATTACAAATCAAGCGTGGCGACTACACTAAGTCGCCCGCAAAATTTGTGCTATATGACTTCTAAATTATCCAGAAATTGTTTTTAACACAAATAACGCCCATAAAAAGTGATAATTCGTATTAAAACCAAAATGTAGGTTTGTAGGCCACTTCACTTACACTTTGATATTCCGACACAACACGGGTTCAATTCAGCTACCGTGCTCATGACTGACATTGAAATAAGTCGGTAAAGGGCAGTACAATTTAACCTAATTCTAAAATGAACTGTGTCATGGCCCATTTTCTGAAAACTTCACAAAATCGCTTATGCTATTCTAAATAAATAATAAATATATAAGTTTAATGTATGCCATAGTAAGGAATGAATACAAAAGAAATAGTACTTTAAGTATTTATTATCCGATTTAGTGGCTAGGTCGAAAAATCACGTCAATGATGCAAAAAGCCTACGTTTGCTTATGAATACGCTGCGTTGTGTAATAAATGACCGTTTCTATTGCACAATCCTTTCACAAGGGCTCCAAAATGTAGGTCAATCTTTGCGAGTATGATTTCAAAGTAATACTTAATATAATTTTTCGTTACCAAACAATGGAGGGTGTAGTGGTAAACAAATAATATATTTTTTGTTAATTTTGTGGGTTTATTATAAGTTTTAATTGTTCATTGTAGTAATTTTATATCACTAAACAGTCTTATATCCATATCCGGTGCGCAATGACGCTACCACCGACTATCTACTTAGCACGGTCTGGATGCAGTAAGTTCCTTGAAAGATTCATAGATGGCGTCGTACCAATTATTTTACTTCATATTCCTATACTTACTAAATTATTACTGATTATAATAATTCAATATGTGTCGTGTACTTAACCTAAATAGTAGAACTGGACATAATACATTTATATAAAGAAAACTTGAACTTTCTAGAATTGTAAACACCAAATTATAACGTTCCATGATAACTATTAATTGTATCGCTACCGCCCTCTACAGAGACAAAACAAAAATGTTAGAGGCTCATGAGCCGCTCTCCGTCACCGTTACCCTTACTTTTGCAATTTTCTCTCAAACACTTACATAGAGGGCTCTGTTCGTGTAAAAGGAGTTAGACTGGGAGGGGTCCCTAGCCGAAGTTTTTTAACTCGTTGATGTCATACACGTATTGTATTACGTCATTGTTTTAGTGTATATAAAAAGCTGAAAGACATCTGGATTCTTATTTATACACAATATATGCTCCATCGACCGCGCAAATGTTATAACGCAGTGACGATGCTGACCTCCTTCATCATCATCATCTCACCTTTTAATCCTTACTGGTTCCTGACCACTTACTTTTTGAATTTTTGATCATTCTCTTTTTTCATCAATTTTTTTTTCGGTTCTTTCCATCGTTACTCCCATCTTCCACTATATCTTTCTAATTTTGAGCTCGCATCAAAAATCTCTAATCGAGAGGACATGCCCATAACTCATCACACTCATTTATTGTGGCTGTTGTTGTGTGGAAGTTTAAAAATTTGAGGGTTTTGTAATAATTGTACCTTTTCTTTATATAATTTATCATTTCCTCTTTTTAACTTATATGGACAGTCTTCTGCATTATCATTTCGTTAACATTCGACTATTTTTTTATCAGTATGATAATTTGGAACTACTCGGTCAGTCAGTAATTTAAAAATAGTGACTATTGTGTCATATTATAGTAAAATTATAATACCGTACACAACAACGGTGGCGTGGCCACAGAATGCCATGCCATGCTATGAATTGGGTCAAGAAAGGTATATGTCAGAGAACACATAAATACTAGGTATATGTAATGAAATAAATTATATTGAAATGTTATATTTTTATTTAGAAAATTATATATAAGTAGTTCACATAAATCATTATATATATATATATATATATATATATATAATATAAGTAAAGTGTGATAAACAAAATTTTTATTAAATTATGATTACCAAAAATTTTTATTACATACTTTTATACTTATATTCTTGTTACCGTATTGTTTTCTGATCAATTTTGTTTCAAATTTCTGTAAAAACAGATTAAAAGAGTGATTTATTTTATTCACGTTTTTCGATATTGTTACTTGAATTGAAGTCTTGATGTGCTGTTTGTTCCCATTCTGAGCGTTTAGGCCGCATGTTTGGATAAGGTTTCCCTGGAGATAATAAGTCTTTGAATCTGAGAGGTTCCCTCATAGATCATGTAGATCTTAGCATCGCGCATAAGTTTTTCAACTGGGTACTCGGTGTTGTAGCCGTTGCCGCCGAAGATTTGAACGGCGTCTGCCGCAGCCTTGTTAGCCACTTCTGAAGCATGGGCTTTGGCGACCGAAGCCAGCACAGTGTTCTTCTGACCTGGAGTTTGTGACATAAACATGTATAACAGAAAACAAAACTTGATAAGTAGCACTAAATTAATTTTAATTATTTCGCCTTAAGAGGTGCATCAGAGACATTCCGTCGTTGCAACTACACCATGGTCATGGCATGATAGTGCAAAATTTTTTTCTAGGGAATAATTTTGAATTTCACGAAAAGCGTTATTTTACAATTTCACAGAGGCCATACTAAATAAATATGAAAAATACGACATGCATATTATCATCTTTTTTTGGCTGAGACAGTCATTTTTTTGTACAGCCACGCCATAAAATTTTGATGAGATGAGATTGTATGTTCCGAAAAGTATGTGTTAAATTTTACCGACCATGATCAACCATCCAGGCCGCCTTGTGCCAGGCCAGGCGTGCTGTTTCGACACCAATAGCCATATCAGCGAGCATGAAGGCGACGGCCTGGTGATGAGCGATGGGCACTCCGAATGTTTTACGCTGCAGCGAGTAGTTGGTAGCCTCGTCTAGAGCGCGCTGTGCGAGACCTGTAGCGCCGGCTGCCACCTACACAAGGAGTATAGTTGAGGCTATGGTGACGTGTGGTACCTTTCGGAGTTATATCGTTCGCTCAACGCCAATATTCAAATAATACAGTTTGAGTATGAAAAAATAATTGGTAGCTTACACTTTGGCGCACGACTCGTTCGTCTCATCACTTGATATTATAAAAAAAATCTAAACATAATTCCTAAATAAATTTAAGCAAGGTAAAAAAAGTATAATTTGGGTATAATATTATCTTCTTTACTTAATACCGTTTAAATGCAAGTTGTGGGGGTGGAGAAAAACTGAGAGTGTTAGGACGTGATAGAGTGAGCAATGTAAGTGTAGTGTGAAGATAGGAGAAGATGGAGATATGGAGTTGCACCCTCTGTCCTCGACTCTTGGTGACTGAGGACAGAGGTGCAGAACCGAAGAGCAGCGAGGTTTGAGGAATGACGAGTGTTTGGTAGAGCGAGAGAGAGCATCGAAATTCGAATAGCCAATTTTGAATTTGAAACGAAAAGCCAGAATGTGAGCAGGCAGAAGCGGAAATGCTTCTACTGCTAAGATTGCATATCAAAGGAAGGAGTAAATTATAGGATTATCTGTGGAAGAATAGATTGTAGAAGAGTAACGGATCTGTCAATCAATGTCAATATATCAAAATATTAAAATATTCTCACAGGACATTGGCGAAATCGCCATTTTTTTTGTATAATTTTTATAATAATGTTAAACTACCGTACATAGTTATTTTTACTTGACATTGGCAAAATCATTGATTATTTCGATGGAGCCATAACATTTAAAAGAAGAAGAAAAAAGAAATACGAAATAAATATGTTTATAAAGTGAAATCGATGAGATAGTACGTGATTTGCAATTGGAAAAACGAAAAGCAAAGTTCGGAGATACCATCAGTACGATAGAATATGCCAAGATCTGGAGATTAGACATGAAAAGTGAGTAAACTTAGTAAATTAAACCGTAAATTAAACGTAAACTATTAAAGTGCGAGAAATATCTTATAATAGCAAATTTAAGTAATTTAGACACTAATATTTTAGTACATATTAGTTGGAACTCTTTCAGGAATCAAGAAAAGTAGGGGCGTTTTCTCGAAAACTTATAATGAGACAGATGAAGACGATAGGGGTCCGTAGTTTCACACTACAAAGCTGGATAATAAAATAAAAGTACCAGGACGCCCGATGATTAGACGAAATTCGGAACATTAAATACATTTAAATAGGATACTTTTTACGCGAATCACTGGTGATGTAGATGGAAATTATCACTGCAACGTCGTTGTAGAGTTTAGATCAATATCATTTGTTGAGGTAACCTGATGGGACGTTGTTTAATTGTTCTCACCGGAGGCCTAGTCTTGTCGAAAGCACCCATAGCGATTTTGAAGCCAGCTCCTTCGCCAATGAGCACATTCTCTTTCGGTATGCGCACGTCCTCAAAAGTGATGCCACGGGTATCAGATGCGCGTTGGCCCATATTCAGTTCCTAATTTCACACATTAAAAATAAAAAATATATAAAGGCTATCCCAATACAGAATATGAAAGTACTTTGATGAGTGCTTAATCTCAAATATAAATTAAGCAACTTTAAACTTTTATGAATTATTTTCTTTAAGAATTGCAGTTTTTTTGCCTTTTGCATTACACTTTGTGTATTCCTGATTTTACTAAATCTGTTTTCTTTTAGTTAACTTCAGTCTAATGTCTCCCATTTAAATTAGTCAATTTCATATAGTCTCGTTAAATGGATATTTATTACCTTACGTCCAGGATTCACTCCGGGCCAGTCTCTCTCGACGATGAAGCCAGTGAATGCTTTGCCGGCGGGGCATTTGGGGTCCGGGTTGGTTCTAGCGAGGACGAAATACCTGAATATTGAAATATTGATTTACAAGACATGTATCACATGTGGAAACTTTTCATAACTGACGTGTGAGTTTTGTTAAAGCCATTTATTGCAAAAATTAAAAAAATTTCATCTAAGTATCTATTAAAATATGATTAAAATCCATATTTTGGTCATCAATGATCCAAAGACAAGCAAACATGATTCAAGACAGAATTTAGTTTCGATTTAATGAAAATAATTGTTAAAAGAAAGTATAAGTGTTGAGACAATACTATCACTTCAAAAACAATGTTTATTATTAATGAATTGTTAAATTTACTATTATTGTGTATTTTTAATCATTTGTTTGCTTTCGTTTGATCACAAGATAACTTCCTGTATTTTGACATATATTATATTTGAAAAATAATTAAATTAAACTAAGCTAAGATTACCAGTTAGCAACGCCACCGTTGGTGATCCACATCTTCTGCCCGTTAAGAATCCATTCGTCACCTTTCTTCTCAGCACGTGTCTTCACTCCGGCTACATCGGATCCGCAACCGGGCTCCGTAACTCCGTAAGCCTACACATAAATAGATAGAAATAATTAGAATGCAATCCTTCCCACACTAGGTAAAGAATGGACCTGGTCATTTTAACAAATTTACTGGTTTATAAAGTTCTCTGTGCAGAGCCCGCCGTAATAGGAACTACTTATTGGAACCCCAACGTAGCACTGCTGAATTCAGTATTGAAAGGCAAGGACTGCGCACACGGTCTTACTACTCAGCTTACAGTTAAGTTGCATTAAAAAAAATTGTTTTTTTAAAACTTTTAACTGTGTTCGAAATTAGGGTAGTGACTAAAGATCGCCCTATTGTAGTGATTAGTGTATACCTACCAACAAATAATACGGACAACCTACAGGATTTCACGGACTGCCTTGGTGCGGTGAGTGCTATTGTTGATGAATACGACACAGAATCGGTCTACATACTGGGCGATTTCAACGCCCATCCGAATGTACTCTTTTACACTGAACTTATTAATCACTGTGATGAACTGGATTGGTGTTGCATCGATGTACAAAAGGTGCCGATTCCGATACTTATACCTACATAAGCGAAGCCCATCAATGTAGACGATTGTTGGATCATTGTCTTATAACGCAATCTGTAGTGTCATCAGTCCATAATGTATACGTCAATTACGATGTTACGTGGTCCGACCATTTCCCTCATGCTAGAGTGCGATTTAAATCTACTAACACAGGGAGCGGGAATGCCATAAAGGGTTGAGACGTATTGACTTTCCTTTGGATACTGCAGTGAAACTAGGCATAGGCATGTGATTGACAGGTTGTATAAAAACATAGTGTCTGTCCTCTGCGATGCTGCAACTATCTGTAGTAAAAGTAGAAAGCGCAAGCCGAAAAATCAAGTAGTAGGGTGGAACAGGCACATCAAAAAGGCTCATAGTGCGGCCAGGAAGAAGTTTGAGTAATGGACGCTTCAGGGTAGACCTAGACATGGCATTCTATTGGATGAGATGTATGAAACTAGAAAGATCTTTTCAGATGTTGCCTTAAATGGTGTCAAGATCATCAAAGTCAAATCAAAATAAACATAATAGCTTCACAACACTTTTTTCACAAAAGGATTTTCGATCATTCTGAATGTTTACGAATAATATGAAGTTTCGGTCTGGCTGCCCTGCGAGTGTTGACGGCAAACATGATTGAAAAGATATTGCCAACCTCTTTAAAGAACATTTCCTTGAAAAGTCACCTGTAGGATCATCGCGGGGGGGATGAACGCTGTTGAGACCAACAGTAAGGGCTGCTTATTTATTTTTTACTTACTTACTTACTTAGTTTTACCTATTTGGCCTTACGTAGGTTCAATAGAATAATGCGTTCTGGGTGCTGGGCCATATTTCGCGAGTAGAGCTGTACCCTAGGTTGAACCTTTTTTTAACTCGGGAAATAGGGCCCAGCTCCCGGAACGCATTATTATATTGAATCCGTAGGGCCTCATAGGCCCGCTGCGTAGAATATCTCCATAAACTGCACGTGTACAGGAAGGTACAATATGCTCTAAACAATGTTATTTTAACTTCCCTAGTACAACGAGCAAATTTACGGGTATTTTCGCATTATATTTAAGCCCATGTTGACTGGCGTACTCCTCACATACACGCAATAGTTTGCGTAAACTACAAGCCGATGCGCTGAGCAAAACCATGTCGTCAGCATAGCTTATGTTATTAACACACAGTGAGTCAATATGACAGCCGACATGCATTTTGCCCAGCAGCTCAAGTAGTCCATCCATGTAAAGGTTAAAGAGTGTGGGCGAGGTCAACCCTCCCTCTCTCACTCCCCCAGTCCAACCTATACTGATCCGATAGAGCCCCAGACCACCTAACGCAGTTTTTTGACCTGGTTTCCATACCAGTATCTGAGTATTCGTACGGTTTCCGAAGGTAGTTTAATGGCTTCTAATTTCTTCCATAACACACTATAGGTAACCAGGTCAAAAGCCCTAGACAAATCCAGGAAACAGGCGTAAACCGGTGTCTTTGTATTCACGTAATATTTGACAGTATGCTTAAGACACAATATCGCACTCTCCGTGGACAACCCGGGCCGAAATCCGAATTGGTTGTGATTTAGGTACACGTATTTGTTTAACTGTGCGTTAAGCATACTATCAAACACTTTCGCTATAATAGTCGCGAGAGAAATTGGTCTGTAATTACTGGAGTCAGACAAATTTCCAGTTTTATTCTTTACTACAGGTATTACAACGGTTTTCATTAAATCCTCGGGCAAGTAACAACGTCTGACACACAACGTATAGAACATTGCCAACACTCTAGAGATATGAGGACCCGCGTACTGAAGATGCTCAAGGCTGAGACCGTCATGCCCTGGGGATTTACCTCGAGAAATTGACCTGATGGTCTTGGCTATAGCAAAGGTGACTTTTCAAGAAAATGTTCTTTGAAGAGTTGTTCTTTAAATATCATGTTTGCCGTCAACACTCGCAGGGCAACCAGACCGAAACTTCATGTTATTCGTAAAGTTCCAGAAATTGTCGAAAATCCTTTTTGGAATGTTGTGAAGCTATTATGTTCATTTTGATTTGACTTTGATGATCTTGACACCATTTAAGGCAACATTTGAAACGATCTTTCTAGTTCGACCTTCTAATTCGACTGAAAATCGGCATCTGGGGGGCCTTTATGGCTGTTTGATAATAATTTATGGTCTAATTTTATTTTTTGCCATTTTTCAATACGGCTGCCATACAATATTTTTTTGGTGATAGATAAAAATTTCGTCTAATTCGACTGAAAATCGGCATAAAAATTTATTTTTCTTGTCATTTTTCAATATGGTCGCCATGAAAGAGCTATGTTATTTTTAAAAAGTTAAATCACTAGTTCCAGCGGAGTGCGAAGCCGGAAACGTCCGTACGCCACCGTACGTAGGTAGTATATGGAGGCTTTATTACGAGTACAAGATCTCACAATTGTTCTAAATGTGAGGCATACTTCCCGATGTAGTGGAAATGAGATACTTATAGCGTTGTTGTATCTCGACCACCGCTTTGTTAGATTCTTTTTTCTTGGAAGCTATGCCAATGAGAAGTACCTACTTTAGGAAAAAATAATCCAGACAAGCACACCAAATTCCAGAATACCCAGAAAAACCAATTTAGAAATGTTCGATTATTAAATTCGAAAATCGAACCCGGAACCTCCCCATCAAGCACCCATAGTACTAACCGCTGTGCCGCCGAAGAGCATAAGCTCACCCCGTAATCTGAAACAGACCACGCGCCGCAGGCGAGCCCGACCACACCGTAGGTGAGGTACAGGGCTCGTTATTTAGAAGTGTAAGTAAACCATACTGGTTCTTGGTCAGAAATATTAATTTACTTTAACGGAGTAGTTATTGAGTATATTAACTGTAATTAATTATTATAACGTACAATGTTCTCCACAACATTTCGATTCTCAAAATTTCATTATGTCGAAAATTATAAAGTTTCGCTCTTTTTCCCGCCTTGAAATTGATCAGACTAATTTATTTTATTTTTTTTTATTTTTTTTTTTGGTTAATAATGAATATAGAGATGACTTGAAATATTTCTAATTATAAGCTAAGTCTGTATGGCACTCGAAACGACAATTTTAAGATTTTTTTTAGTACTTGTAATATTAGTACTGGTAACTAGTAGTTCGTGAAATTGTAGGTTCGTGAAACAGGCCCTTAGTGGGGCTGCCCCGCTTCTGTAGCGCGAACATGTGCAAGCGAAGCACGTCTCTGGCGCGCCGAGTGCGGCCCAGCCCCAACATCATGCTGCGCTCGATAGCGGACAGGTTCGACTGTCCATACGTGAGGCACTGCTGTGAATTGCACGTTTCCAGCAGTGTCTATTATGTATAATTTTGTTCTTACTGACATTAGCATATGTGATTTTACTAACAAATAATATGTGTCAATGTTACATGAAATAAAATAAATTATTAAATTATATTATTATATTAAAGTATTATATTACATTACATTATATTATATTATATTATATTATATTATATTATATTATATTATAT